TGGTTATTGTTACGGGGACATTCAGTTGGTGCTCTTTGATGTTTCTGCTGGGATTGCCTAGATTTGTTGGTAGGACTCCTGTTCAGTTTGGAGGAAGAATAAGACTATCTGGCTGCCTTCTTTTGCTAGAGTGGGTGTCAGGAAAGGCCAGGCCTGGTTTACCTTTTCTTGGGTAGGGAGTCAAAAGGTGCCTTGTCACTGCACTGTTCCTTTGGCCCTGTGATCCCTACCAGTTTACCTCTTCTGCCTTTCAGGTTCTCTTTTTTTTGTCTCTTATGTTATTTCCAAGGCTTTTAGTCATGCTTAGCAGGGAGAACCTGGGAGACAGAAGCCTATACCATCTTGCCCAGACCAAAAGGTCGCTATATATTCTTACATAGGCATAAGATCTCTCTAGAAGGGTACACAAGGAATTGCTCTCCCTGTGGAGGAAACCTGGGGGATGTGAGATAGGAGGAGACTTTTTTCTCTACCTGTTTATGCATTCTCATTTTAATCAGGTGAATATATTATCAATTCCAAAATAAAATAAAATATAAAAAAAGAAATTATGTATTTTCATTTAGTCAGGTGAATATATTATCTGTTCTAAAATAAAATATAAAAAAAGAAAGAAGTCTTCTAGCTTAGCCTTGTTTTCAAGAGCACAACCAAGGATTACAACAGAGGTTAAGCAGCATATGGATTCAACAGTTGGTAATTTTATTAAACTTCACTGACTTTTAATTTCACTATATTGTCACTGCTTTGATCCAGATCCCTGAATGTAAGAATAATATCCTCAGTGGATTTTCAGCCTGCTCATACATTTTGAATAACTTTCTGAATACCAATGTGTAATTTAGTAAGAAGTAGATGCTTTTGGCAGCATACTAGTACCCTAATCAGCTGAAAAAACAATATTTGTATGACATTAAAACAAAATTAATAGGAAGACACTGATTACATGAAAAGACTTAAGGTTGTAATTATTAAACCTGCAAACAACTCAGCATAATTAGTGCCTTAATTAGGATATGACCTGAAATTTTAGCTTACAAAATAAATAATGGCAATTAGAAGTCACATTTGTAAAGTAAAGTGGTCTTTAGAACTTATAACGTAGTTAGATATCACTTTTTTTCTCATTTAGGGGAGCATCTTTGTGGGTATTAAACTTACAATGCAGATACTTTGATTCCCAGTCCCACCCCCAGCACAGTGTCTCAGCTTAGAACCTTAAAAGTCAAGTTTAGTGACCCAAGAATGTCTACCCACAGGGGGTTGAACAGTTCCCAGGCACACTCCTGATTAGCTCTAGGGAACAATGAAACAGCAAAGACTTTTTCTTCTTTAGCACCTTAAGTGAAATATAAACTGGAAGACTGATACTGACTTTGATCAAAATCTGTCATTCTCACAGAACTATTTGGATCCAAATAGCAGTTTTTACCACTGTCCATTTATTCTTCAATGCATGCTTCTTGAAGGCATTTCAGGTTTCACAGTTTACCACACAGTGAAGGTTCCAATCCAAAGCCAAAGAATTTTCCATTAGTAGGTAAAAGTGGAGAATTCAATAAATATTGATGGACTAGTAGTGATTTGGGAAAAAATTAATCTGGAGTCCTACCTTCATTCCTCCTGTCAAAATAAACTCCAAATGGATCAAAGATTTAATATAAAAGCAAAATCATAGATGTACTAGAAGATAAGGGTTAATATTTTTATAATATTGTAATCAGGAGAGGCTTTTTAACCACAACAGGTAAAACAAAAGCCATAAAGGAAACGACTACCAAATTTGCTTACTTAAAAATGCTAAACTTCCATAGAGCAAAAACAAAAAAAATCCCAAACAGAAGTAAGTTTTAAAACCTAATTCAAGGCCACATCAAGAGGTAACTGATTAAAATCTGAAACTGTCAATTGTGTTTTAATTCATTTTTCTTCTAGAGGCACAGCTTTATTCCTCAATAAATAAGGAAATAATTGGAAATATGCATCATTATTTATGTACAAAGATATTAAGTATAGAGAAAGTTAAAAGAATATACATGCTAAAAAATAGCTCATAAAGTAATTCAGTTACAGAATAGCCATAGGCTGCAGGCATTAAAAATCACAATTTTAAATAGCACCAAAATATTTTCATGCTAGGATTCTTGTTAAAAAGAAAGCTAGTTAGAAAAAACAGGTAAATCCAATTTGAGTTTAAAATCTCTTATCTAGGCAAAAATAAAAGATTAGAAGAAAAATGTTAATGATAAATGTCACTAAAGGTAGAATTATAGATAAATGTTTTTGTCTTCATTTTTAGTAATTTCCAAATTTTCAACAATAAGTAAATTTTTTTTTACTTACACTTTTAAAAAATTCCTTGGAGCTTTAAAGAAAAAAGTATTTCAATTTTTCCCCCAAACAGCTAACTTAGAATTAGATCAGATATGGAAGATCAAAACTGAAGACTCGAAAAGCATAGTGCACAAAACAGCAATTGCAAAAAATCCCCCCCCCCCTTTTTAATCTCTCTGCCAGATTTGGTGAAGCTATCTCATGTGGGTTAAATCACAACTCCTGGTCATTCAAAGTCTTTCTGTCTCTCTAACAGTGCAGGCCAGGAACATAGACAGCCCTTTCCTAAGACCCAACATCACAAGAGAGTTCTTTCATAAATTCAGTGTCATGCCTGTCCATTCCCAACTGCCTATGTTGTAGTGTAGGGAATGGAACATGAGTTCCAAAACTCTGATTATTGGCTCTTAGCAGGAAGCTTATGTCTTCAATTAGAGGCACTTGCCAATCACAAAATAACTATCACTGGTAGTACAGGAAATGTCATCACTGAACTCCCTCTGTACCTGTAGGTTTTCTTAATTTCTTCATTTGATGCTCCTTTGTGCAGACCAAGGATTTCATATAGAGCTTCTCCAGATGTTGACATAGTCCGCTGTCTTTGGTTAGGTATGTTACATGCCATTTTCTCTAAGCTGCAAAAACAAAGGGGGAAGTAGTGTAAAGTTTATGCATACTGGATCCCACTTTCTAAAGGGGAAGATAGTTTATTTCTGACCATTTGTAAAATAACAGCCTGAAGTACATCTTTGTGCCAGCTGCAAAAGGAAGGGAGAAAAAGGGTTAGGAGAACCAAAACTAGAGCTTCGAATCAGGGTGTTAAAGGCTACAGGCAGCCATACAAATGGAATATGGCTTTGTCCACATGGCTAAATGGAAGCAAAATGTTATCTAAATATCCACGTAACTCAGAATTGTTAAAAATCAGTCCTCACAGGTCAGGCAAATGTAGATTTTCTTTCCCATAATTTGCATAACTCCTTTTGTGGATGTTTTCCAAATTTAGCCAGCAATGGAGATAATCATCTATTTTACTTTGGCTCTGTTGATCTAGCCATTGTTAGAGTTTAAAAACAAAATAAAACAATGCCGCCCCCCCAACTTTTTGTAAGTATCAAGAAAAAAAATCCTGGTTTCATCTGGCAGCCTGGTTAGAACTTCTCTGTAGTTGTGGGATATCAGAGTCCCCCCACAGTGCTCAGGAGTTCTCCACCTGAGATAGCTCCTTTCCCTGTGGTCTAGACAGAAAGGACTGTACTATCCCATGTCCCAGGGAGCCATCTTCCTGCTGTGCTCTGGCTCTAGTGGGGAAGCACAAAGAAACAAGCACACCTGGGGGCATTCCTGCATCCACCACCTACCCTCTCCAGCCTTAATAAGCCCGCATCATAAGGGTATCTTACAGATTTAGAAATAATGCATATAATATACCCAGGACACAGTAACTTCAAAGATCTATTTTTATTAAAGTAGGCACAGTGTGTAATTCAGAGAGGATAGTATAGTCAGACCCTCTAAGTTGGAATATTGGCCATACCATGGCTGCATGACCTTCCCTATCTATAAATTGGAAACAAAAATGTGCCTAAACTCATGAAGCTGTTGTAAGAATTAAATAAGTTAATACATTAAAAAACAAAAACACCAATGTTCATAGCAGCATTATTCATTATTCATAAAAGCCAGAAAAAACAAAATGTTGTATGTACATACAATGGAATATTACTCGGCCATAAAAAGAAGTGGAATTCTGACACATGCTATAATATGATGAACCTTGAAAATATTACCTAGGTGAAATAAGCTGGTCACAAAAGGACAAATATTATATATGGTTCTTCTTATATGAGTACCTTCAATAGACATACTCGTAGAGACAGAAAGTAGAATAGAGGTTACCAGAGGCTGGGAAGAGTGAGGAATGGGAGTTACTGCGTACAGAGTTTATTTGGGATGATGAAAATGTTCTGGAAATAAATAGTGGTGGTGGTTAATTATCATTGTGATTGTACTTCATGTCATTAACTGTACACTTAAAAATAGTTAAAATAGCAAACTTTGTTATATTTAATCTCAAAAACAAAACAAAGGAAAAAACTCAAAACTATTTACATTACAAGAAGTTTCCTGAAAATTATTTTCCATCTCTTGGCTTTTGTGCAGCCAGTGCTATAAAAGGGAATGAATGTGAATGAATGAATATACCAAAGCTCAGGAGATGTCATCAGGGCTGTGGAAATACTCATGTTCAACACAAGGAATCCTGGTGACAACAGTGGCAGCAGCAGAACCAAATGGGCACATCCCAGTGGCGGATGGCCTTGGTTGGAGCCAACCTCCCAGATCTGCTCCCACCGGACTGATGACTTAACCAACACAGGCAAGAGCAGAGCCTGCTGGATGTCACCTGGTGGGTTAGGGCAGTCTTAGAGACCCTGAGACCCCAAGACCACAGTGTGGTACAGTGAATGCTTGTGGTCCTAAGTAATTCAATCAAGAACAATGTGAAGAACTTCAAAATGTTTTTGTAAGCCTTTAGCTTCTTGAGGGGAGAAAAAGGAGCCAGTACTGAAGAAAGTCAGACCCCAGGCAAAAATCCTATAGCCCTGAAGGCAGTGAGGACAAAACTGACTCAACGGAGGACGACAGCACAAGGACAAAGCCTCGTCTTGTGACATGCTGCTTGTACCCTCTTCAGTGAAAGTGGAGCTTCTGGAGACCAGAGGGGCCCTAGTCCCAAATTCCTCATTCACACAAGGACCAGAGGAGGAGGAATCCTAATTTTGCCTGCCATGAAGCAAAATCTAGCAGATGTCCATACATACTGGCAGCCACTCAGTAAATCGTAGCACTTGTTTTCGTTACTGTTCTACCTTACCTTTTTCATCCTCCCATCACAATTTCTCTGGCAAGTAAACAATTCAACAGCTGGGGCTGGGTCATTCATCCCTGTGTTCCAGTCCTGCAGCTCAGCCCTATCTTGGAACCACAACCTGGCTGACTATTCAGAGTTAAAGGGAAAATTGCCTGAGTAACTGACACCCTCTCTATTTCCTTTCCTGTCCCCTCTCTCCCACTGCCACCACACACACATATGCTCAGGATATTGATACTCTCCCCTGCACTTGCACCTGATTGTTCCCAGTAAGGGAGGCAACTGGCAGGCAGGCTTCTCACAAGTAATGCTAAATGCCATGAATGAATGGGATTTAGAAAGTAGGGATTTCTGTGTGGCTTGGTGGACAAGGAATAAGTCCACTATCATCATGCTTGTCTCAGATTTTTAGATCTTGCTGGGAAGCAAGATTCCAAAGTCACTAAGAATATATCAACATAATGGTTCAAATCCTAGGACCCTTGAATATGGAGTTAGAGATAATCTAAGTCAATTTAACAAATGCCTCTAGGGACATCCTGGCCAGGGATCGTTGCAGTAAACAACTTCACTGTTAGCCTACTAACTCTCTTTTCTCCTTCTTCTGTGTTGCAACATATTACTTTTCCTGAGACCTGCCTCAGTCTTACCTGATCTCAGTTGAGTAGACCTGGAGTGGTACCTTACCCAAGCCAAGTCAACCAGAGTCCTTCCCTAGGATTTTTTTTTTTTTTTTTTTAGTGTAGAACAATCTCTCAGGTAGTGAGAACTGTAAAATGTAAAATTTGGATAGTTGGCCGGCCTAAAACAAGAGAGATTGAAACAGACCTGCAGAAATCGGGCAGAGGGAGGAGATGGAGAGAGAGCCTCAGTGGGGTTCAGCCCCCTGGTTCCATTTGTTTTTGAGTGCACTTGCAACTTGTCCCCTCCTACAGTTTGTCAGTCAGCCCTTCCTTGGAGTAAGCCAATAAAATTCCTCCCTATACACAAATTCACACACATTGTTTCCTTTTGAGCATGTTTTAGCTAGATTTTGGTCACTGTTTTCCAACACGCTTTAGTGTCATGTACCTCAATTAAACACCAATAGTGGTTCCCTGAGCACCTCCAAGCCAGGATAATCCATTGTGGATTTTTCTTATATCACTGCACCTACTCTTCCTTTAAATTGAAACTGGTTTCTAGGTACTTGGGAATAAATAATTCAGGGAAATAATAACGATATGTATATACTAAGATACTCAAACCAAACAGATTCAGATGTGTGGTGTAGACATTACTAGTATGGATAAAAAAAGCAGTGATAAATCTGGGTCAAGATGTTTCATAAAGAAAGTTTGTGGAGAGCTATTCAAGAGAACAAGAAGGAATAAAAGTATGGCAAATAGCTATCTTTGCTTTATCTATTTTTCTCTATATTCAGCATTCAAAAGAAACAGTTACAATTTGAGGGAATGAAATATATTCACTCTTCATCATCTATCTCATAAAATAAGAGAGATGTTATGGTGCCCATAAATCAACAGATTGTCCTAAAATCAATTTCAACAAGTGTACAGTCTCCCAGTTTTGACTGGTACATTTTTTTCCCCCAAGATTGCCTCCTAAAGTTATTCCAGGTGTGGAACAAGATGGGGGGGGGTTACTTGGAGGCTACCCCCAGAGCCTCCCAGAGAATACACCTGGAAACAGCCTGGAATTCTTCCTTCCCTGCTTCACAGCCATCCCTTTACATACTCCTCAGTGGAAAGAAGAAGACAGATGCCATCTCTTAAAAGAGTTTCATACATAAAAACTCACACCCAAGAAGACATGGTAACTGGCTATTCTTTCAGTTTATGTAGTTTTTCAAATCATCTCTCTATTTAGAAATCTAATCACACTGTAACCTGTTCTTCTAAGTAAAATCTAGTAGCTGACTTGCTTTATGTTGTGGGTTGAGTAATATTCAGAATGGGTTGTTACAGAGAGTTTGGAATTTGTTTATTTTCCGTTTCACCTTATTTGCCCTATTGCCAAAAGATCAAAATATTTCCTTTTAGACAACAACATCAATGTCTCTTAATTAAGATACAAAAAAAACCCATTTACTGTCAATATTAGAACACAAGAAAAAGATAGTTGGTCAATGTAGTTAGTAGTTGGTGACTCTACAAACTGAAACATAAAGGAACCCAGAGACCACAAGGTTGCTTTCTGAGCATAAAGCAACAACCTATTTTTCTGTGTCCTTGGTGAGCTAGAAATCAGACTCTTCATGTATTATTAATGCAGATGCCATTTAGCTTCAAATTCAATAGAGTAATACATTGAAACCATTAGTTGTTTTAATGTGTGAAAATAAAATTATGCCCTGAGAACATACTAACTGCAGAGCAATAGTCAAAAATCCCCTAAAACGTTCCTTAAACTTAAATAATGGAGTCATACCCTTATTTAATTCCTTATTTAAAATAAAATTTTTACGAATTCTTTCTCTGTTGCCTTTTGAATGCTAATATTCCTATGCAAAATTCAAGTCTTTATTATTTATTCATAGCTCCTCATCTGTACTGTCCAATGGGGGAAAATGTTGTCATGCAAAGTTATTAAATAATTTAATTTTGATCATTCAGTATGTGATACTTAATCTTCTGAAATTAAATTACTTTTTAGCTGCTTTACAATCCATTAATATACTTTCTTAAAACCTTAACCACTAGTCACTACCAAGTCACATACAGCTCAGCTGTCTCCTGATAAAGATATAATTGACAGAAGGTTTAACACTCCTATGATGATGAACATCCAATTCAAAATAAACACATATTTCAAAGGTTCTAATTCCAGGAGTCCTACAAATGCTGTTTTAAATTGTTCATGTTGACGTGAATGTTTCCTTCAAAGCAAAAGAAGCTTCATCTCTGTTATGTGAATTCTGAAAAATGGAAATAATCAAACTATGCCTTTTTTGGCCTGGTCCTTTCATGACTGAGAATATGAATGTGAGTGGGGAAGATTAGATCACTCAACAGCAAACACTTTTGACAGCTGTGATTGAGGAAACCAACATGTGTTACCATTTTATTATTACTTCTGTAATTCTTCTATAGAAATCTGTTTATTGGAGCAAAATTTCCTTATTCAAAGAGCATTGTATCTTAAAGCTTAACACACATCCAAAATGCTAACCCTATGTTTTCCCATCTAAATACTAACCAGGCCCGACCCTGCGTAGCTTCCGAGATCAGACAAGATCGGGCGCGTTCAGGGTGGTATGGCCATAGACAAACCCTATATTTTAAAATGATAATTCTCTATAGTATGATTACAATTTGCTACTGAAAAATAATTATCTCCTGATTGCACTGATACTTATATAAATAGAAACCTGAAGACAAGGCAACTTGGAAATGTTAAAATAACCCACAGTACCTGTTCCTATAACTCCGATTCTGTGTTCTCAATCAGAAGCAACTTGCTGTTTTCAGTTGGCCTGGAAACAAATGTGCAAAATATAGAGACAGGCAACAACAAAAGGAGCTGTTCCATACCTGTTCCACTGTTTCAAAGCAAATGGCTACACTTTTCCATCCTTCTCGTGGGAGGTTAAGTGGGTCAATGGTGTCAAGTTACTTTTCGTTTGTTATTCTATCAGCTAATTGGTTATCCCTCTGGAAAACATAACAAAGAGAGAATAAAACATGCATGACCATAAAGGTTGCCATTACAAGGCATCCAGTGATACCAAAATACATGCTACATCTAATTAGATCATTAGTCAACTGGTGCTTGGCGCAACCAAACACTGCTATGGAACTGCCTCCAGGTTTCCACCACAGCTTTCAGTTAAGAAAATGTGCTATCTCCTGACATGCAAAGTGTGTTCTTTTATTTATTTTTTATTGAGATATAACTGATGTATTACGTTAGTCTCAGGTGTACAATGTGATGATTCAGTATTTGCATATATTGTTGAAAGATCACCACAGTGTCTAGTTATAGTCTAGTCCATCATCATACAGTTATAATTTTTTCTTGTTATGAAAACTTTTAAGGTCTATTCTCTTAGCAATTTTGAAATATGCAATACAGTATTATTAACTATAGTCATCAAGCTGTACATTACATCTTCATGACTTTTATTTTATAGTTAGAAGCTTGTACCTTTTGACCACCTTCACCCATTTTACCCACCCTTCACCAGTACCACCGCTGGCCCCCTGCCCCACTCCCTTTCCCACTGTGGCAGCCACCAATCTGTTCTCTGTATCTGTGTGCTCAGGATTTTTTAAAATTCCACATGTGAGTGAGATTATACAGTATTTGTCTTTGACTTATTTCACTTAGCGTGATACCCTTAAAGTCAATCCATGGCAAAATCTCCTTCTTTTCCATGGCTAAATGATATTCCATTATATATATATACCATGTTTTCTTTATTCATTCATCCATTGATATACACTTAGATTGTTTCCATAACTTGGCTATTGTAAAAAAAAATTGCTGCAATGAACATGGGGGTGCAGGTATCTTTTCAGATAAATATTTTTGTTTTCTTCAGATAAATACCCAGAAGTGAAATTGCTGGAACTATTGTTAGTTTTTTGAGGAATCTCTGTACTGCTTTGCATAGTGGCTACACCAATTTACATTCTTATCAACAGTGCACATCTCCACATCCTTGCCAAAATTTGTTTTTGTAGACTTTTTGATGATAGCCATTTGGACAGATGTGAGGTACTATCTATCTCATTGTGGTTGCAACTTGCATTTCCCTGATCAATCGTGACGTTGAGTGCCTTTTCATGTACTTGTTGGACTTCTGTGTGTCTTCTTTGGAGAAATACCTATTCAGATCCTCTACCCATTTTTAAATTGGATTGTTTGCTTTTTCGCTATTGAGTTGTATGAATTCTTTATATATTTTAGATATTTAACCCATTGGCAGATATATGATTTGCAAATATTTTCTTCCATTTGGTAATTTGCCTTTTCATTTTATTAACGGTATTCTTTGCTGTGAACGAGTTTTTAGTTTGATGTATTCTCACTTGTTTATTTTTGCTTTAGTTTCTTTTGCTTTTGATGTCAAATCCAAAATATCACCAATGCCAAGGATCTTACTGCCTATGTTTTCTTCTAGGAGTTTTATGGTATCAGATCTTAAATTCAAGTTTTTAATCCATTTTGAATTGATTTTTGAGTGTGGTGTAAGATGTAGAGTAGAACCCTGTAGAAAAAATCTTAAATCAAATGAGACAGGTGTTACTCCTGAATTTTGCGAAATGAGATCTGGCTCCTGAAGTTGAAGGTAGAGTTTAAGTTTCTGTTTAGCATGACAGGTAGCAAAGCCTAGCACTACTTTGTGTGAACACTTCAGAGCACTCTCACCTCTAGGTGGCATTGTTTTGTTGATACAAAGACTATTTCTCATAGATCCTGACTTTCAGCCAGAGTTTAGGAAGCAGCTCATCATCATGCAAAGAAATGGAATAGTGGTGGGAGGAACTAAAGACATTTAGAACTAAATACACAAGTTCCAGCATCACTTCAGTTTAAGGACAATGTCCTTTGATGAAATGAAAATAATTGCTATATTAATATGGTGAGATTATGAGTGACATTTTTTAAAATTGCAGTTTATGTTTCAGATTCAGTTTAATAAATATTTTTGTAAAATTATTATTTTTGCACAATTGACCTCACTTCTTAAATCACTACTTTTTAACTTTTATATGGAATAAACCATGAGTTTATAATTTTTTAAGTATTGCAAAACTCTTAGATGAAGTAGAACTATAGCTGTGTTTCAAAGAGAAAACAGAGTTTTTTATTCATCTAGTCATTCAACGGTTAGTTACCTACTAGATCCAGGCATTGAGCTAAATGCTAGGCATATCCTGGTAAACAAAACCAAATACAGACTCTGGGTTTGTGGTTTACAGTGTTACAGCTTACCAACAGAGACAGATATTAATCAGATGATCACTCAACATAAGTATAAAAGTGAAACTGGACAGATGATACAAGACCATGTAAATCAGTGGAGCAGGGGAAGATCAAAGAAAGCTTCCCTGAACAAAAATAATCAAGCAAAGATCTGAAAAGAACTAGATTAAGGGGTTGTTTATAGAAGCAAATATATTCTAGGTAGGTAGAAGGGCATGCCCAATGGCCCTGGGCACTTAAATGGAAGAAATAAAAGATTCATTCTTATGTGTACTCTAATACACAGGATGTCAGCACATGCCTATACATACATGGCTTCTAATATATAATCTAAAGATATAGCCAGAGATTAATGGAATCATATTCCACTTAAATAGGTGAGGCTTTCTAGAAGTGGTGAGCTTCAAATGATGTTTGTAAAAGGAAATAACTCATAGTAAACACATAAATTACTCCTTGATGCAAAATGCACTACATGTACTGTAAAAGCATTGTGAATGGAATTGTTGAAATTTGAAGAGGAGAACTTAGAAAATGTTCCAAGATTGAACCAAAGTGGTCTTTTTGTGAGTTAGAAAATCGGAGAAGTGTGTGTGTGTGTGCTCGTGTGTGTTGGGGGTGGGGGTTACATGCTAATTTTCCCTGTGTGTTCTATTTATGGGGTCTTCACTATTCCCCTAGGTGCTCCTAAAGACCTTTTATGTACCTCTCTCAATTACTACATAGGGTTTGGATATTATAATAAATGACTAATACATTGGAACAGAATTTGCAACAGATACTAGATGAATTTGAATGTCAATCAAAATAATCAGACAATCATAACATTAGTATACGTACTACTTAATGTAAACTTCCTATCTCAGCAGATGCAAACACCACCCATTTTGAACCCGTGATGTGTAAGGGCACATAATCCCAACAAATCAGTCCTAATCTAAACAACCCAATGCAGTGAACAAAGGCATTATTTTTGCTGTCATTGTTACTATTTTTACTACCCTTTATATTGTTTACATTATTGTTGTTGTTGTTGTTATATATGTAATTCAGGCCACCACTTTGTAAATTTCAAAGATAGGATTCATCTGAGTAAGCTACATTCTGTTGAGTAAATTTAGGAAGGAAGAAGAAAAGTGATTGCTTTGATTGTATAAAATGAAGAGGCTGTTGGCCAGCACTCCAGTGGCATCTCAGACAAAATTACAGAACAAGTCTGACAATTCTCCCGTAAAAATTAAGTGTGTTTCAGAAAAGCAAATTGGTTACTTTCTATTATGTTTCATAATTTTCCAAAGTTAAAAAAAGTCCCTTTTAAAAAGATGTTACAAAGGGTATGAAATTTTAGTGTGCCTAAATCTATAAATATGAAGAAAGCATAGAATCATAGAAAGCTGAGGGATAGTAACCACAAATCAAAAACCTATAATAGATACACAAAATCTAGAGAGAAAGGAACACAAGTATACCACTAAAGAAAATTATCAGACCACAAGGGAAGAAACTAAAAGAAGAAAAGAACAGAGAAGAACTGCAAAAACAACCAGAAAACAAGTAGCAAAATGGCAATAACTACATACCTATCACTAGTCACTTTAAATGTCAAAGGATTAAATGCTCCCATCAAAAAACACAGGGTGGCTCATCAGAAAAGAAAAAAAACAGGACCTATCTTATAAGAGACTCATTTTAAAGACACACAGACTGAAAGTGAGTGAATGGAAAGAGATATTTCATGCAAATGGAAATGACAAGAGAGCAGAGCTAGCAATACTCACATCAGAAAAAACAAACTTTAAAACAAAGTCTATAACAAAAGAGAGAAGAGCATTCTATACTGATAAAAGGATCAATACAAGAAGAGAATGTAACACTTGTTAACATATATGCACTGAAAGCAGAAGCACCTAAATATATAAAGCAAATATTAACAGACATAAAGGGAGAAACTGACAATAACACAATAATAGTAGGCATCCAAATTGGAAGGGAAGAAGTAAAACTGTCACTATTTGCAGATGACATGATATTATATCTAGAAAACCCTGAAGTCTCCACAAAAAAACTATTAGAACTAATAAATGAATTAGTAAAATGGCAAGATACCAGGTTGATATACAGAATCTGTTGCTTTTCTGTATATTAAGAAAATGAACTATCAGAAAGAGAAAGCAAGAAAACAATCCCATTTAAAATCACATCAAAAAGAATAGAATATGTAGGCATAAACTTACCTAAGGAGATAAAAGACTTGATAACTATAAAACATTGATGAAGGAAATTAAAGATGATAAAAAGAAATGCGTCTCCTTTAATAAAAATAGTTCTTTGAAGTTACTATGTCCTGGGTACATTATATGCATCATTTGTAAATCCTTAAGAAATGGGAAGATATCTCGTGTTCTTGGATTGGAAGAATTCATATTGTTAAACTGGCTATACCACCTAAAGCAATCTACAGATATAATACAATCTCTATCAAAATATCCATGACATTTTTCACAAGAAGTAGAACAGATAGTCCTAAGATTTAAATGGAACCACAAATGACCCCAGATTGCCAAAGCAATCTCAAGAAAAAAGGACAAAGCTGGAGTTAATCACACTCCCTGACTTCAGACTATACTACAAAGCTACAGTAATCAAAACACCATGGTACTGACACAAAAACACTAGGTCAATGGAACAGAATGGAGAGTCCATAAATAAATCCACACACTTA